AAACCGTCTTTTAACTTCTCACTTTTTGTGGATTTAACTTGTCTTCACTGGTGGTTTTACTGAGCTCTACTCTTGAATTTTTCACATGAAAGGCACAACATAAGGTCTAATGCAGCAGTCGCCAACCAGTGGTCCGCGGACCACTGGTATTCCGTGAGGTCCAAAAGGTTGGCGACCGCTGGTCTAATGGTTAAGTTTTTAATTTGTAACAGCACCCGGTGTTGAGCCCGTCATGAGGACAGTAAAATATTATTTATACGTTGGGTATTTTTACAGACAGACTGAGCCCTGTCAGTCAAAGTCCTTTTCTCTCCTCAGCTGGAGAACCGGCTGGGAGGAGAAGAGAGGTTCCAGGAGCGGGTGACGCGGCACCTGGTCCCCTGCATCGCCCAGTTCTCGGTGGCCATGGCCGACGACTCCCTCTGGAAGCCCCTGAATGTTGGGAACACTAGAACTGCCTATTATTGCTGAAGACGAGAGACTCCTCGCCTAAGGTCAGGAGCCGCGGTGGCAGCACTGGTGCCAGCACTGTCCCGTGTTCTCACCATGTAGCCCAAACAGCTATCGCGCAGTCACGGCTGTGCAACCGTGGTAACTAGCAGGACAGACAGGCTGCTTATCTTCTAGAACCAGCGGGCAGGCTGTGCCGGACACAAGTTTGTGCCTGCGTTTTTGGGTTTTACTTCCGGGTTATCTATAAATAACAGCAGTCCTCCCTAAGGTCAGGAGCCGTGGTGGCAGCACTGGTGCCAGCACTGTGCCCAGTGTTCTCGCCATGTAGCCCAAACAGCTATCACGCGGTCACGGCTGTGCAACCGTGGTAACTAGCGGGACAAACAGGCTGCTCATCTTCTAGCACCAGCGGGCAGGCTGTGCCGGACAGAAGTTTGTGCCTGCATTTTTGGGTTTTACTTCCGGGTTATCTATAAATAACAGCAGTCCTCCCCGGCCCCTATCGTGTGTGTGTGGCACGAACACTCAAATACTTTTAATACTTCTGCACTTTTAAATCTTGAGAAGACGCAAAGTGATTCCTTGTGCTTTTTAATTTAAATGCCTCTTAAGTGTCTGTTTCCAGAGTCCAATGCTCTGAGCTTGTGCACAGACTTTCCTTTGGGTGAGAGTGTATCTCGGGGT